GCGACCCCACAGATGCTTCGGGGGACTGAGTGTGACATCCCACGTGTGACTGTCCCACCCCCTCAGCAGAGAGACCCGAGTGGCCAGGACAGACAGACTGAGGGACAGACAGACAGAGGAACATTTGGGGGGGGCAGAGGTTGGACAGAGGGACCGGAGGGAGATGGAGGGACAGAGGGACTGGAGAGAGACGGAGGGGACAGAGGGACAGGAGGGAGGCTGAGGGGACAGAAGGGGGTCAAAGGGGACAGAGGGACAGGAGGAGACAGACGGACAGAGGGACAGGAGGAGACAGAGGGACAGAGGGACAGGAGGAGACAGAGGGACAGAGGGTCAGGAGGGGGACAGGAGCCAGACCGAGGGACAGGAGGGGGCAAAGAGGACCGAAGCCGGACAGAGGGACAAGAAGGGGACAGGAGGGGGACAGAGGGGGCAGAGGGACAGCTGTGGGGACAGACAGAGGGACAGAGGGACAGAGGGACAGAGGGACAGAGCCCGCGGGGCCACAGGCAGCGGAGCCACACCCCGGGACAGGGAACGCGAAAACTGGAAGAGAGAGAGGTAAAAACAAACAAGCCCAGGCACAAAAGAGGAAGGAGGGAGCGCAAAGCAAAGCAAATAAATCCCGAGGAGCAACGAACTCCCGGCCCCTCCGGGGCCAAAGGTGCGCCCGGCCCGGCCCCGCGGACCTTTGGCCACTGCCGGCCACCCCTCAGTGGCCATGGCGGTGCTGCTGGGGCTGCTCCCGGCCGCGCTGGCCGGGCTGGCCCTGCTCGCCGCGCTGCTCGCCCCGCCGTTCCTCTGGGACGACCTGGTGGCTTTTGTCACCATGGCCAGGTCGGCGCTGCGCTGCCGCCGCCGCTTCGCCCGCAGCCCCCCCGAGACCCTCCTGGACGTGTTCCTGCTCCACGCGCGGAGGCGGCCGCACCAGCCGCTGCTCCGCTTCCAGGACGAGCTTTACACCTACAAGGACGTGGATCTCAGGAGCAACCGGGCGGCCTGGGCGCTGCAGCGGCGCCTGGGGCTCAGCCCCGGCGCCACGGTGGCCGTGTTCCTGCCCAACTCGCCCACCTACCTGTGGACGTGGCTGGCGCTGGCCAAGCTGGGCTGTGCCATGGCTTGTGTGAACACCAACGCGCGGGGACGGGCGCTGCGGCACGCGTTGGAGGCCGCCGGGGCCACCCAGGTGCTCGCCAGCCCCGGTGAGAGGGGATGGAGGGGATGCTGGGGGGGCTACAGGGACACGGGGGGATGTGGTCACCAAGGTTACCCTGGTCCTCGCCAGCCCTGATCTCAACCAGCCTCGCCAGCCCCAGTGTCCACACGTGTGTCAGGGTCTGTACCTGTGTCCACACGTGTGTCAGGGTGTACACGCCTGTGACTGTGCGTGGGTTTGTGCGTGTGCCCATTTTGAGGTCCCTCAGGTGCCCATTTTGGGGTCCCTCAGGTGTCCATTTGGGGTCCCTCCTGTCCCCCCAGCCCCTGCCCCCCGTGCCCCCCAGTGCCCCCCCATGACCCGCCGTGTCCCCGTCGTGTCCCCCCCATGTCCCCCAGAGCTCCAGGTGGCCGTGGAGGAGGTTCTCCCGGACCTGCAGCGCTCCGGGATCCACGTGTTTTACCTGAGCGCCTCGTCACCCACCCCGGGGGTCCCGGCCCTGCTCCCCGACATCGAGGCGGCCCCTGCAGACCCTCTGCCCGCCCAGCACCGCGCTGGCATCACCGCCACCTCCAAGGCCATGTACATCTACACCTCTGGCACTACTGGTGAGCGGGAGCTGGGAACAGCCGGGATCCAGAGCTGGGGGACACGGGGGAGGGGGGGGGGGGGAAGAGGAGGGTTAGGAATGTCGGAGGGGTCTCTTGTGGGGTCTTTCTCCAGCCGTGAGCGTGGTGGGTCCACCTGGGGCAGGAGTGGCCCTTTGGGATGTTTGGGGTCAGTTGGAAGTGTCTGGGGTCAGCAGGAGATGTTTGGGGTCAGTTGATGATATCTGGGGTCAGTTTGGGTAATTTGGGGTCACCCATCCATTTTTGGGTCCCCAGGGCTCCCCAAGGCCGCGGTGGTGACGGAGCTGAAGCTGATGATGGTCGCCAGCCTGGGCTGCATGTGCGGGCTGCGCCGCGACGACGTCGTGTACACGACGCTGCCCCTCTACCACTCGGCCGGGCTGCTCGTCGGCCTCGGCGGCTGCCTCAACATCGGTGCGGGAGAGCCCAGCCCACGGGACGAGGGAGGGAGGGAGGGAGGGAGGGATAAAGAGAGGGAGGGAGGAATGGATGGAGGGAGGGAGGGATGGATGGATGGGTGGATCAATGGATGGACAGATGGGTGGACGGACAGACGGAGGGAGGATGGATGGACGGCTGGGTGAGTGGACGAAGGGAAAAGCGGGGAGGGAGGGGGTCACCCCCCCGGCTGTGCCCCCCCAGGAGCCACGTGTGTCCTGAGGAGCAAGTTCTCGGCCTCCCAGTTCTGGGCCGACTGTCGGCGGTACAACGTCACCGTCATCCAGTACGTGGGGGAGCTCATGCGCTACCTGTGCAACACGCCCCCGGTGAGCCCCAACTGCCCCAAACTGCCCCAAAACTACCCCAAAACTGCCCCAAAACTACCCAAAAACTGCCCTTAAACTACCCCCAACACTGCCTCAAAAACTGCCCAAAAACTGCCCAAGACTGCCACAAAAACTGCCACAAAACTGCCCCAAAAACTGCCCCCAAAAACTGCCCCAAGCCCGCCCCAAACCCACCCAAACCCCCGTCCCCCCCAGCGCCCTGACGACCGGGAGCACGGGGTGCGCATGGCCCTGGGCAACGGGATGAGGGCGGAGGTGTGGAAGGAATTCCTGCGGCGCTTCGGGCCCGTGTCCATCCGGGAATTCTATGGGGCCACCGAGGGCAACGCTGGCTTGATCAACTACACCGGCAAGGTCGGGGCTGTGGGCAGGGCCAACGTGTTCCTCAAGGTAAGAACTGGGGAGGTTTGGGGCCAACAGGGGGTGTTTGGGGTCAGTTGGGGGGGTTTGGGGTAAATTGGAGATGTTTGGGCCTTATTTAAATAAGATTTAGACTGAAAGATTTAAACCAAAATTTAGACCTAAAGATTTAGAATTACAGGTTTAAAGATTTGGACTTCTAGACTCAAAGACTTAGACTGACTCAGGGATTTAGACTGACTCAAAGATTCAGACTTAGACATTTCCAATCCAGCCTGGTCGAACCCAAGCAGTTTTTAACCTCCAGGATGTTGGGATTGCAGGGGGAGGGGAAAGGCCCAATCCCAGCAGGCCCAACCTGGCCCCCCCCAGGTTTTAATCCCGGGTTTTTCTCCCTGTGCGCCCCCAGTTCTTCACACCCTTCGAGCTGATCAAGTACGATGTGGCTGCAGAAAAGCCTGTGAGGGATGAGCGCGGGCTCTGCATCCCCCTCGGGCCCGGTAAGAGCCGGGCCTTGCAGGGAGGCCACCAAAACCACCCCTTGGTCCTCCTCGTGGCCACCAAAACGCCCCTCGGGCAGCCTAAACCCCCCCCCCGACCCCCTCCCAGGCGAGACGGGGCTGCTGGTGGTGAAGATCACGCGGCACGCGCCGTTCCACGGCTACGCCGGCGACGCCCGCAAGACGGAGCAGAAGGTCCTGCGGGACGTCCTGGCCAAGGGCGACGCCTTCTTCAACAGCGGCGACCTGCTGCTCATGGACCACCAGGGCTTCCTCTACTTCCAGGACCGCGTCGGGGACACCTTCCGGTAATTCCGGCCCGCGCGTCCCGGCCGTGGGCGCCGGCCCGAGCGCTCGGCTCACGGCGCTGCCCCCTCCTCCTCCTCTCCCTCCTCCTCCTCCCGCCCAGGTGGAAAGGGGAGAACGTGGCCACGACGGAGGTGGAGGCCACGCTGGCCACGGTTGAGTTCATCCAGGAGGTCAACGTCTACGGCGTGGCCGTGCCCGGTGAGTCCGGGGAGGACACCGGGGAGGGTGAAACGGGGCTTGGTGGCCCAAACTGAACGTCCAGGGTTGTTTTGGGGCACAAAACAACCCCCGAGGAGCCACCAAGAGCAGCAAAACAGGGGTTGGTTGCCCAGTTTGAAAGACATGGTTGCCCCAGGTGGCCCCAAGTGGCCCCAGGTGACCCAGGTGGCCCCAGGTGACTCAGGTGGCTCCGGGAGGACTCAAAGTAGCCACAGTGGCCCCCGGTGACCCCCGGTGCTGCCTGCAGGGTGTGAGGGCCGCTGTGGCATGGCCGCCGTGCGCCTCAAGGACGGGGCCACCTTCGACGGGGACACCCTGTACGCCTTCACGCGGGACACGCTGCCCTCCTACGCTGCCCCTCGCTTTGTCAGGATCCAGGTCAGTGGGACACGCCCGGCCCAGGTGTGGGGGGCTCCGGGAGGGCTCCGGGGGGGCTCCAGGGGCTTGGGACTGGGGGGGTTTGGCCTTGGGAGGAGGGTGATCCATCAGCACCAGCGCCCGGTTCCAATCACAGCACGGTGGAACCAGGGAATGGTTGGGTTGGGGTTGGGAGGGGCCTTCAGGCTCATCTGTTTCCAAGGGGGGTCACCCTGTGCCAAGGGGGGGATCAACCCCCGCCGGCACCCGGACACGGCCCCGGGACCCCCCTTCCCAACACCCCTCGTCCCCAGGACGCCCTGGAGATCACGGGCACCTTCAAACAGTCCAAGAGCAACCTGGTCCGGGAGGGCTTCGACCCCCAGCTGGTCCGGGATCCGCTGTTCTTCCGCGACGATTCCCGGCGATCCTACGTCCCGCTGACCCCGGACACCTTCGCTGCCATCCAGGACATGAGGCTCAGTCTGTAGCGGCCTCGGGCTAATTAACGAGGCTAATTAGGGGCTAATCAGGCACTGTGGGCTGGGCTGGGGGGTTATCCTGGCTCGGCCTGTCTGTGACGTGGAAATTAAACCCTTAATTCCCACTTTTTTTTTGGGTGCCATGCCAGCCCCTCCCCACCCTCACAGGGTAGGATTCCTTCCCCATATCCCACCTAAATCTCCCCATTCTCAGCGGGAAGCCCTTCCCTGTGTCCTGTCACTCCAAACCCTTCCCTGTCCCAACTCCTGGTGGCACCTGGAATTCCACTCTCCGCCCTCACCGGGAAGACTTTCCACCTGAAATTCCTCCTGGGAACTCCTAAAAGCTCCCAGAAATTCACATAAATCCCCATAAATTCCCAGAAGTCTCCCCAAACTCGCAGAAATCTCCACAAACTCCACATGGAAAACGTGAAATCTTTATTTACAGCCCCCCCACCCCCGGTGCCCAGGACTCACCTCCCCCTGTCCCCCACCGGCTCCACCTCCCCCTTGACTGGGGGGTCCCTGGGGCTCCTCCGGGGCTCCGGAACACCCCCCGTGTCCCTCTGGAGCTCTGGGACCCCCCGTGTGTCCCTCTGGAGCTCCGGAATCCCCTGTGTGTCCCTCTGGAGCTCCGGGATATCCCACGTGTCCCTCTGGAGCTCTGGGATCCCCCGCATGTCCCTCTGGAGCTCCGGAATCCCCCGTGTGTCCCTCTGGAGCTCGGCCAGGCGCTGCCGGAGCCGCTGCTCCCGCCGCTTCCCCGCCTGGAGCTGCCTCTGGGCCTTGCTGAGGGCGTCGAGCGCGGTCTCGGCGCGGCGCTTCCAGAGCAGGGCGGAGCCCACCTGGTAGCTGTGCTCGCTCTGGATGTAGGAGCCGGCGCGGGGCGGCAGCCGGGCCATGAACAGCGATGGTGACGGTGGGCCGGGCGGGCCGGGGGGTCCCGCGGGCGCCGGGGGGGCCCCCTCGGGCAGGGCCGGAGCCGCCGCGGCCTCGGCGTCGCCCGTGGCCACCAGAAGGGTCTCTGGTGGCGGCACCGGGAGCCCGCCCTGGGCGGCGGCCGGGGGGGATTTGGAGTCCGGGGGGAAGCAGGAGAGGGAGGGGGGGAACGGGGGGGCCGGGGGCGTCGGGGGAGGGTCCTGCCTGTGGGGAGAAGAGAGAGAGGGGGATACGTTATCCCCAGATACGGCCCCGGGAGCGCCCGGAGAGCCCTGGGGGTGGGAGAGGGCAGGGGGAGGCCAGTGGGGAAGGTGGGGGGTCCTGGGGGTGGGAGAGGTGAGTTGGGAAGGGGGAGGGTCCCAGCTGTGTTGGGAATAAACAGGGCAGTCCCATCACCCCCGATCCCTCCCCTCAAACCTCCCCCAGACTCACTTCCACTTCCTGGGGGTCCGCAGGGGCTTTGGGGGGTCGCTGTCGGGCGGGGGGGGCTTCGGCTTAGGGTTCCTGGGGGGCCGGGGGGGGCCTGGGGCGAACACGGTGGGCACGGCCCCCTCCTTGAGCCGGTGGTAACCACTGGGGGGGGAGAGAAATGGGGGGTCAGGAGGGTCCTCGAGGCCTGTAGCCCCCTACCTCGGAGCAGTGGCTCTCAAAGTGCCGGGAGCAGCCCCCAGATTCACCTGTAGCCCCCTCAGACTCACCTGTAGCCCACTACCTCGAAGCAGTGGCTCTCGAAGTGCTGGGAGCAGAAATAGATGTATTTGGAGGAGGGGTCCCAGCGCCCCCCCCCCCGAGGGGTCCCGGCGCCGGCTGTTCTCCAGCCACTGCACACGGCGGGGGTCGTCCCTGCGTGGCAACCTGGGGGGCACGGGGACATGGGGGGGGACATGGGGGGGGTCACAGGTCATGGTGGGACCCCAAATTGCCCCCCCCAGCCCATTTTGTGCTGAAGGGCTGAACCCCCCCCATCAAGCCCAGCAATGGAACGGTCCAGGTGGGGCCATTAAAGCGGACGGGGCTGAACCATCCCCAGAATGGGGGGGAGACTGCAAAGGAGACCCCCTTGCTGAGCGGGAGGGGGTCCCTGGGGGCTCTCTCATCCCCCCGGGGGGGTCCCTGGGGGTCCCTGGGGTGTCACGCACCGGTGGAAGGAGATGCCCCTGCCACGGGTGTCGCGGGTGTCGCGGGTGCAGCAGCCGGAGGCGGAGCAGTGCCGGGGCATCTGAGGGGGGAGAGGGAGGGGACAGGGCTGAGACGACCCCCGCCACCCATCCCATCCCCCCTGAGCCCCCCACCCACCCAGACACCCCCCAAACCCTCGGGGTTTAACCCAGAGACCCCCCAGGGAACCCCAACTTCCCCCCAGGGGCCCCTCAGGCCCCACAGAGACCCCCAAGGTGCCCCCTCCAGTGACCCCCCACCTGTCCCTGTCCCCAAAGACCCCCTGGGATTCCCAACCCCTCCCCAGGGGTGTTTCTTTCTCCCCGGGAGGGTCCCTGGGGGTTATAGATCTGTACAGGCACCTTATAGAGGCCCCACCCTACAGCGCCCTATAGATCCTTATAGGCACCCTAAAGCCCTCTCTAGTGGACCCCACAGACCCCTACAGGCACCTTACAGCCCCCCCAACGGACCCTATAGATCTCCGTGGGCACCTTATGGACCCTACAGACACCCAGAGGCACCTTATAGTGCCTTCCATGGAACCCATAGACCCCTATAGACCCCAAAACCCCCCAAATCCCCCCCAAAATCCCCCCCCCCCCCCCCGTTCCTACCTCGGCGCTCCCATCCCGCCGCCGCCACCGCCGCCGAACTCTCGCGAGGGCCGCGGCTCTCGCGAGAACAACTCCCCGCTCCACCCAGCAACGCCTCCCTGGGCCCCGCCTCCCACTTCGTTGATTGGTTGGTGCTTAGCAACGAGCCGCGCCCTCCGCCTGTCCGTATTTGCATGCCGCGTTCTGATTGGACAGACGAGACGCGCCCCCGCCCTATTAGCATTTAAGCCACGCCTTTCCTGGCTCCTTAGCCATGCGAGCCACGCCCTTCTCAGCTCATTAGCCATGCAGGCCACGCCCCTCCCGCGGGGTTTGGGGGAGTTGGGAGCTTTTGGGGGATTTTGGCGAGTTCTGGGGGGTTTTGGGGGCGTTTGGGCGGCTTTTGGGGGCCTTGGGGGTTTTTAGCGCCCCCAATTGAGTAAAGAGGGCTTTGAGGTCCCCCCAGCTGGTTTGGGGAGGGATTTAACACCCCCCGATTGGGCTAAGGAAGATTTTGGGGTTCCCCCCCTCCCCCTCCTCGGTTTTTGGGTTATTTCAACGCCCCCTCCCCCACGACCCCCACTCAGGACCGAGACCCCCATGAAGACACTTTAATGAATTTGGGGTCCCCCCCTCAAAAAAATCAAGGGGGGGGGGGGGGCTCTGGAGCAGCTTTTGGGGTCCCCTTGAGGGAGGTCAAAGGGGGGTCAAGGGGGGATTCCAGGGAGGGGTTTAATAGGGAGGTTCAAGGGGGGATTCGAGGGGAGGGGTTTTGAGGGGGCATTCAAGGGGGGTCTCAAGGGGGGGGTTCGAGGGGCTCCCGCAGCGCTGGGGGCGGGTCCGAGCCC